TTGCATAAAATTTATCTCATTGATATGCCATAAAATATTATCACGTATATTAATTGCCTTTAAAATCTTCACCAGGAATAATTATATGAAAAGCAATGGTAGAGGACAATAAAGTCAGATTGAGGTGCAAGTTTGAGGCAGTTAGCTTGAACTCTTGTTTCCTCAGTGGGCTTTTGCTTTTTACATTATTTTTTTTTTGAAGTAATATTGCTTTGTATCATTATGTAAGTTTCATGTGTGCATCATTGAGAATGTATACTAGGTGTGCATCATTGAGAATCAATAGATACTACAGTAACTTCACCACTAAAAATCTAATGCAATCCTTCCATATCGTTCTCGTATTTGTTCCAGTGTACCCACTCTCCATCCCCTTCCCTTCTGGTAACCCTCTGTAGACCTTTTCATTGATTTTTTTTTTGCATTTAAGTCTTTGATCTATGTAGTGATTTGGCATGTTTACATAACAGTATAGAAGAGAATGACAGGCAAAAAGAATTTGGAGTCAAATAATTACAGATGTAATCTTTGAATTACAGGGTTGTGATGTGGTGATACAGGAAAATCTCCAAGCTAAAGGAGAAATAGTTAATTTATCCTATGGGGATAGTTTACTTGAATCAATGCCCTTCCATTCTTTGGTTCTGGGTGTGGTCCCCAGTGACAGTGGCTTTGGAGAGCACCAGGCAAGTTTGCCTGTCCCATGCCTGGCATTTACCTGTTGCTCTGTCAATAATCCCTTTGCACTAAAACTGGCTAACTTCCATTCCCCAAAGCCCTTTAAAGGGTCTAATGGAAACTTTGCAGGTGTCAATATTTTGACCTGACTTTATATATCTATGATCACTATTGGGATATCTTAAGTGAGAAGCAACCTGGTAAGTGTATCATTTATTTCATGTATTTCTTAGGCTTTTACTCATTTGTGGAGGCTTTCTAATGCTAAAGTTATCCATTGGAAGAGCTGAATTTAGAGTTGATTGTGCTACATCAAATTCTGGAGTATCAACTAAACTTGAGAATCTATCATGCTATTCCACTTCCTTGGGTCTCAACTCTAACCAGGTTACTTTGTACTAGAGTCTAAGATCATTCTTCCTGAGATGGTCTCTCCACTTGTAGGATGAGGAATAAGATTTGAAGTTAGACTAAGTGTATTCTTTTTAAATAGTTGTATGTGTTTACCTAACTAGAGTAATCAGGGTTAAGCATCTTTAATACTACTAGCCGAGGAAAATTTATAAATTGTATTTATTTTTTTTAAGATTTGTTTTATTTATTTATGCATACAAGAGCTGGAGTGTAGGTCAGAGGTGCAGAGGGGTGAGAGGTTTCACCAGAGACAGAGTGGGGAGCAGAACAGGCAGATCTACTGAAATACACTGCCTGGGGAGCAGTGGGCGAGTAGGTAGTGCTGAGACTTACTTAACCCTTTGTACCAAGGGGTTTGGGAGCCCAAATTTTATAAATTTTAAATCGTTATTTAAACCGAACATTCAGATGCCATAGCTAAACAGCACAAATGACTGAGTTTGATTCTCTTACTCCCCTGCTCACAAATTCTGTGTAAAATAGGAACTCCTTAAGCTGACATTTACCAAAAGTCATGGTAAATGTATACTAGGTATGCATCAATGTACACTAGGTGTGCATCATTGAGAATCAATAGATACTACAATAACTTCACCACTAAAAATCCAATACAATCCTTCACCATATCATTCTCCTATTTGTTCCATTGTACCCACTCTCCATCCCCTTCTCTTCTGGTAACTCTCTGTAGGCCTTTTCATTGATTTGTTTTTTGAAAACAAAAAACAAATGTCCTTTCTCTACTTTGCCAATAATTTCTCTTACCACTACATCTATGTCAAGCAAGACATTTTGTCTTTACCCTGACATTCCCTCACTGTTATACCTCCACACATTTTCTTAATCTGTCCCTTCCTTCTGAAATACATAATTTCTGTCCTTATTTATGACAGTTAAAAATACTTTCTAACTTTCAAGATAGAGCAAACATTTATTTATATTCAAAATATTTCTATCTAGTTCTCTTCTAGGCATTAAGCTAAAATTTTTCTATACATTGTCTAATTTCATGCTTAGATGAACCATACAGAATAGGTGTTATTATCCTCACTTTATGATAAGGAAAACTGAAAAGTAGCCATCATTGCTTATATTATACAGATTAGATTCAAAGCAATGAAGAGACTTTGCCCAAGTGTTCAGTTACTGGGTGCCAAAACCAGAGTTCTTATGGATAATGCTGTACCCTACCCTGCACACACTACCCTATCAAAGCTTATTTTTGTAGTATTAGCAAAAATTAAGGTTATTGAACACCTGCTAAGTGCCTAGCAATAGAGATGCCAAAGTGAATGAACATATGCCTGTCCTTGAGATTTCACAGTTCCTCAACCCTCTAAACAAAGGATTTTTTTTCTCTCTCAAAGGCATGATATATATATTGCTTTAGAAACATTTATTACATTTAAAATTTATTCTTAATTTACATGACAATTTCCTTATCTTTCCTTCTAAAATAATATGCAAGATGGTAGAGATCTTCAATTTATCCACTAGTTTTGCAATTTTTACAATAGTACTCCCTTCCTTACCCCAAATATTCTGGGAATAAATGATCACTGAATTGAACTGAATAATCACACATGCATCTATAGAATTAGATCAAAAATGTATGCTAAAGAAAGACCCACTATGCCAGTTAACAATCTAACATTTACATTTCTGGCTATAAGACACCTTTCAGTGAAGGTCTCAACATATCAAAGGAAAGATTTCAGGTACGACAAGGTAGAGTCAACATTCTTTCCTATCTTGGTCTCATCTGTGAGAGTGAATCTACTTAAAAGCAGGCAGAGGTTGGGGGAAAAAAATCAAACCTCATCTATATAGTTGCATGTCGTACTTACATTATCTTAGTAGGACAAATTGGGAATGTTGCTATTTCCATTTTACTCACAGGAAAACTAAAGTTGAGAGAGTTTTAGAGAGGTTTAGTAGCTTCCCCAAGGTCATATATATGTTAGTGCAAAATTAGAACTAGAATCCAGTTCTTTAATGTAGAGAAGAATATATGTTTTGTCAGACTGTTCAGAACATCCTGGATCTAAACTAGCATATTCTTTGGCCCCCGAAGAACAGCTTGTCCAGTTGTGCAAATTCTTGTGACTGATATTACAAAATGTTTCATATTAGGAACAATATTATTTCATCTGTTGCCTACATTACAATTTTCCAAAGAACTGTTTAGTGGAAGGGAGAGTTGCTAGGGAACTCGAAAGTGATGCCAAATCATTGTAATACAACAAGTCATAAAGTCATTGCTTGGTTTTCATCAATATTATTGGTGAAGGCCATGTTGAAATTCAAAATAGAGCTTTCTTTTTCACCCATTGTTTTTCAGTAGAACTTTCTGTGATAATGGAAATGTACCATTTTTGCATTGTCCAGTATGGTAGCCCCTAGCCATGGGGAGCAATTGAGAGCACTGAACCATAGCTGGTGCAATTTAAGAACAGATCTTGAAATTTAATTTAATCTGATTTTTATAGAAGGGAGGGAGGGAGGGAGGGAAGGAATAGGAGGGAGGGAGGGAGAAAGGGAGGGAGGGAAGAAGGAAGGAAGGCTTGGCATTGATGCTTAGTCAAAATGGAAGCATTTGGGGTGTGTTCTTTCCTATGACCGCTCACATCACAACATTTAGACAGCAGATCTTCTCCACCTCTGAGCTGAGTCATGCAAATCCGTTGTATTTATTAATGAATTATTAAATCACTTGAAGGTAAGTTCAGGATTTAACCCATCAATTCACTTAATCAGTGTTGTAACCAGGTCGATCTCTAATATTTACAGGACACATTGCAAGAACACAAATGGAGACCAACATAGATATCTAAATATTTACAGTTGCAACTCAAGCTATATCTTCTTAAAGAATCGACCCCTTTGTCATTATGTAGTGTTCTTTATCTTTGATAAATTTCCTTTTTTCCCAGGAACTGTCCTTGAAGTCTACTTTGTCTGAAAATAATGTAACTATTGCAGCTTTCTTTTGACTAGGATTCACATGGTGTATCTTTGTTTATCCCTTTACTTTTAGCCTTATTCTTCATATTTAAAGTGGATTTCTTGTAGACAAAATGTATTTGGATCTTGTTTTTATTCAATCCACTTTGATGGCATCTCTTTTGAAATGTATGTTTAGGCTATTCATGTAAAATGATTATTAACATAGTTGCATTAATATTTACCATATTTTAAACTCTTTTCCATTTTGGTGCTTACTTTTTAATACCATATTTCTCTCTGTCAGCTCTGGTTTTAATTGAGCATTTTGTAAGATTCCCTTTAATTTCCTCTCTTAGCATATGGTTTTATATTTTTCAATAAGTTTTATTGAAGTATAATTTACATACCATACATACAATTAATTAGTTTCTTTAAGGTGTAAAATAAAAGGTTCTTTGTATAATCAGTTTCCCAACCATCACCACATCAGTTTTAGAACATTTCAGCAGCCCTAAAAGAAACTTTGCATCCATTAATAGTCATTACCCAGTGCCTTCCCCTGGTGGTGCAGGCGGTTGAGCACCGTGCTGTGAGGCTGTCCACAGTCTCTGCGGCCCCGGTTCAATCCTGGCCTTCCGGGGAGTGTCCCACATAGTGCGGCAGACCTCTCCTGTCTCACCCATTGCTCCCCTCAGCAGTGTATTTTGGCAGTCTGCCTGTTCTGTTTCTTGCTCTGTCTCTGGTGAATCCTCTCACCCTCCTGCGCATCTGGCCTGTACCCTGGCTCTTGTATAAATAAATAAATAAATAAATCTTAAAAAAAAAAAAACAAAACATTTAGAACCACTTAAAACATTCTTGTGGTAAATGAGATAGAAGAGAATTTTCTCAGAGGGGGTAGATGAAATTATTTCAGAGAACCAAGTGAATCCTATGATGACTATGCTCTATTCTTTTCTCAGCAGGTTGACTTACCAGGTCATACCAAGCAGATGAATCCAGCAAATCATTCCCACGTGACTGGTTTTGTACTACTAGGGCTCTCTCAGGTATGGGAGCTTCGGCTCCTCTTCTTCATTGTTTTCTCTGTTGTGTATCTCATGTCTGTAACTGGAAATCTACTCATTGTGGCTATAGTGACCTCTGACCCACGCTTACATACAACCATGTACTTTCTCTTAGGCAATCTTTCTTTCTTAGACTTTTGCTATTCTTCCATTACTGCACCTAGGATGCTGGCTGACTTACTCTCAGGAAACCCCATAATTTCCTTTGGTAGCTGCCTGACTCAGCTCTTCTTTTTCCACTTCATTGGAGGGATCAAGATCTTTCTGCTGACTGTCATGGCATATGACCGCTATGTTGCCATTTCCCAGCCTCTGCGCTACATGCTGATTATGAATCGGACGGTCTGTGGGCTTTTCATGGCAGGCTCCTGGGTGGGGGGCTTCATCCACTCCATTGTACAGATTGGACTGACTGTGCAGCTGCCATTCTGTGGACCTGACAAGCTGGACAACTTTTACTGCGATGTGCCCCAGCTGATTAAATTGGCCTGCACAGATACCTTTGTTTTAGAGCTTCTGATGGTGTCGAACAATGGTCTGGTGACCCTGATGTGTTTCCTGGTGCTGCTGGGGTCATACACAGCACTGCTAGTCATGCTCCGAAGCCACTCACGGGAGGGCCGCAGCAAAGCCCTATTTACCTGTGCCTCCCATCTTTCTGTGGTAACCTTAATCTTCGTGCCTTGCATCTACATCTATGCAAGGCCATTTCGGACCTTCCCCATGGACAAGGCAGTCTCTGTGCTGTACACAATGGTCACTCCCATGCTGAACCCTGCCATCTATACCCTGAGAAACAAGGAAGTCATTATGGCCATGAAGAAGTTGTGGAGGAGACAAAAGGATGTTCTTGTTCCCCTGGAGCACTGACCCTAGATTAGCAGAAGCAGGACATGAGAATCTTGGAGCTGCTTCAGTGTACAACCTATTTCACAGGACTCACAAAGTAACTAAAGCTAGTTGTCTACTGCTTCTCTAGTGTTCCTGGCCTCAGTCAAGTTCTAGTGACCTAAACTTTCAGTCAAACTAGAAAATGGATTAACTATCTAGAACTTTTCTCAAGTGTCTTCTAGAGAAAAAGACCTCAAGTGCTATGCAGAAACAATGTTTGGATCAGATGACACTATCCCAGATGAGCCTGATGCTGCCCTAGCTGAGGAAGTTCCATCTGCATATGCACAGACATGGTACATCTTGTGTTTCCTTTATGATATTGTGTTTCTTGGACAAAAGATACATTTGAGGAGCTCAAAACAATTATAAGCTTTCTCTTTTTTTTTAACTTTTAATTGAATTTATTAAATTTCATTAAATTATTATATATCAAAAAAGAAACTGGCAAGAATATAAAATACCCTTTTGAGAAACAGGGGTAATACTTTTATGGTAGGAAACTATCCCTTAAGAAGTTAAATTATTATAATTTTATTTTATTTCTTTATTTTTTAACCTGTCACTATTTTATTTATTTTTTAATTTTTTACATCATTTTTAAACAATATTTGCTTTTCCCCACCCTCTCAGGTGTAGTCCTCATAGAATTTACATAATATAAGCTTTCTGAAGACAGGCGGAATCCGGAGGTTAAAGGGTAGGATGTGGAGTCTTGATTTCAGGTGGATTTTTGAATTATTATCCATGATGAAAAAGGGAATTACCTTAAACAAATTACTTTATTCTTCTTTCTTAAGGTCATCATAATGGTCATAATCATTATTGTGATTATACTAAATAATACTTGCTAAGAGCTTACTATCTGCCAGTCATTGTACCAAGTGACTTACATTTATTATTTATTTTAATTCTTTCAGTAATCTTACGAGGTTGGTGTCACCTTCATTTTGAAAATAAATGAATTGTGGATTAGAGACATTAAATAATTTATTTAGTCTCCAGAACTTGTTTCTGAAATCCAACTAATATCTATTTAACTTTGGAGCACAGTTGATGATATCAAAATCTCCTTATAGTTGATGATATCAAAAACTCCTCTGAGGCTCAATATCTCGATGTGAGTTTGTGCCTATTAGATTGGTATCATGAGATGATATTTAAAGTTGATCTTGGCCAAGTATGATTGAGAGAGTCAGGCAGACAAGATATTAGAATATAGGGAAATGGAGTAGAAGATGATCTTGGACTACTGAACACATGATGACTATGGAACTGGAATGTAACATGGAAAGGGAGCTTATCTTCTAGCCCTCAAATAAAGAGTAGCATCACATAATTTATCAGTGACTCTAGAAACTCTACTTCAATTTAGGAAGGTGTGGAAAAATGGTTAGAATCTTCTCTTTTATCATTTCTCACTCCTCCCCAATGCTTAACTCCTTATTCTGGATTCCTGCATCTCCTACCACCGACTTACTCACTTAGCTTCTTACTTGTACCAGAGGACCTGCATCATTTTATCCTTACCTCCATCCCTAAGAGTCATATTGAAAATAAAGCAGTGTTTTGTTTATATAACTTGCTAGTTATTATTTAATCAATCAATGATATAGGATTGGAAGAGGATGATATGTAATGAAAGCATCCACAATCTTAGCATGAAGTCATTATCATTTATATTTTTATAAATAAATTAGTATAAACAAAGTTCCTTTCCACAATAATAGTCTGCTGAGAGGGAATGTTTAGACCATAAGTCCAATACAAAGAGGAAAGGTATAGGATAAAATAGAATGGAGTTGGAATATTGAATGAGAAGATTAGATGGTATAGAACAAACACTGGTGGTGCAGAGGGTTGAGCACAGCACTGTGAAGCTGTCCATAGCCTCTGAAGCCTGGGTTCGATTCCTGGCCAGCCAGGAAAATACCCACATGGCACGGCAGACCTCCCCTCTCTCACCCACTGCTCCTCTCAGCAGTGTTTTCAATCAGTCTGCCTGTTATGTTCCCTGCTCTGTCTCTGGTGAATTCTCTCACCCTCCCTTGCCTCTGGCCTGTACCCCAGTTCTTGTATAAATAAAAATAAATCTTAAAATAAAAGAGAGAGCGTATTTTAATGGAAAGAGAATTTTGGAATCAGAAGACTCATGTCAGAGTTCTCTTCTCATGCAGTTTAGCTTAGCAATTTGTAGCAGAGTCATGGTTTACTTACATAAGTCGAATGCAAATAAAAATGCAGTTTCTCTGTTTTTCAGTACCAATGTGATTTTCCTCAAAAGTGTTATCCTGCTTAACAGTAGGGAAAAAATAACTAAAATTTAAGTATGTCTACATAAATATTTATACTTATACCTATGCATAAAATCAAATGATCCCTTTAAGTATATGGTCATTATTTTCAGAAAATAACTCAGTATCTTAGCATTCTGCTCTCTTCTTCTTTCCAACTTATTCCTCTTGAGGTGGTGTCAGAATGTTTGGAGGAAGAGTGTAGTTTACTTGAACACAGTGTCTTCTGTTCACATGGTGGTCTCTGCTACCACCAGAGTGGCTGGCCTGGGCTGATTTCTGGACTTAGAACTGGACATGAGAGTAATTCTGTCTTTGTTTTCTGCTGATTCCTAATGATAAAATCTTGGATCGATTTTCTTTCTTTGTTTGGTTAGGACAAAATGGTTATTTGTTAGGGTGGCACTTCCATTCTAACTTAGTCTCACTTAACCTTATGTATAGTGTTAGGTATCTCTCTCTCTCCCCCACATTTTCTTATCTACCCTATCCATCCATCCAGCCAGCCATCCATCCATCCATCCATCCAGCCAGCCAGCCAGCCAGCCAGCCAGCCAATGTAATGTATCTATAGCTATTGATCGGTCCGTGTTACTATTGAAATATAGTGTTAGTGATGGTATTTGCTATCATAATGTATTAGTAAATGTGTAATTGAACAGACCTAGATATAATTATCATTATTTTAGAAACATACAAAATAACTCGAGCTGAAAAGAATTTTAGAAATTATCTAATTTAGTATTCCAGTGGTGAGTTTAACTACTCCATGAATAAGTAGATATCCCATACTAAGTTTTATGTGTCTATAATTCATTTGGAAGGAAGAGGTTATTGATTGTATGAGCTTATTGCAGAAATATATTATTCACCAAATATATTATTCATATTATTGCAGAGATACATTATTGTAATCTAGTCACTCATCCAGTCCCTTTATTTTACACATGAGGGAGCCATGGAAAAATGAGAAAGTCATTTGCTGTAGTCACAGGGCAGGCAAGTTGGAACAAGAACCCAGATTTTCTGGTTCTAGTTCTCTTCTATTTTAATAAATGGTGCTTCTTAAAATGTTAACAAATGAGCTACATTGATTGTCCTCTGCTTATCTTTCCATTTTCATGGCTTTATGTTTATCATAGTTTATCATATTGTACTTCTTTTAATTTCCTGAACATATTCCGGATACCTCTGATACCTGGTGTTGAGGACACTTCACTTAGCACCCTTCTTAACGTGGTTTATTCCTAGGGTCTTGTGTAAGATTATCACTTCTCTTGGGAAGCTTTCACTATCCCTTTCCTTGTGACCCCACAGAAACCTTGCTTCTCACACTGTAGTATTAAATATCTGCTATGGATTCCCTTTATTAGCTTGGTTTTACTGTAGACTGTATGATCTATGGGTGGGAAAAGTGCTTACTTTATCAACTCTGCTCCCAAATTATATGCTTGCTGCTCATTTCACTCAACCTTCACTGGCAATTCTAAAGTCTTGACTAACACAGTTTGTCTCCTAATTTATCCTATAAAATCCACTTGCCCTCCTGCAAATCAGTTGTTTCCACAGCAGCTGATCAATCTCTTACATTATGATTTGATAACTCACTTCCTTACTTGCTTAAAACTCTTTAAAGACTTTACTTAGTCTTTAAAAAGAAAGTTCGACCCATGTAAATGTAATAGATAAGATCTCTTCTGAACTGACCTCAGTCCACCTCTCAGCTCCATTCTTTCTTCTTTTTTAACTCTTCATTGCTATGCATTTGTCTAAGTTCTTTCCTTACTCTGAACCTTTGCAAAATAATACTCACTACAGAATGTTAATGCCTGCTCAATGCAAGCTTCAGGTGAAGGTCATTTCTTCAAAAGCCGTGTTTGCTGATTTTCACTTCAAATGAGTTTGTCCTTATTTGTCCCTCTAACAAACTCAGCTTTTATTTTAAAAGCATTTGTCGCAAATTGCAATTATCAGCCATGGGAGCCCTGAGGACAGTGGCCAGAATGCAGGCATAGGAAACAGAAGTCAGAGCCAGAGAGCCAATATCACTGACATGGACAGCACAGAAGCTACCAGCTCTAGCAGATGGGTGTCTCCACGAGAAAGCCTTAACAAGGGCCAACTGTCACAAAAGAAGTAGTTGATGCCATTGGGGTCACAGAAAGGTAGACTGACCACAAGGATATGGAGAAGACCCAGAGAAATCCAGCTAGCCAGAAGGCTAGCACCAGTTGGGAGCAAACCTGACTACTCATCAGGGTCTTATAGTGGAGTGGTCAGTAGATTGCCAAGTAGCAATCCAGAGACATGACAGCCAAGAGGAAGGATGATGTAGCTGGCAAATTAGATAGTGTGAAGATGATGACAAACTTCTTGGGGGACCACAGTAGGCACAAGCAGCCACTCTAGGAAGGAAGAAGATTCCTCAGAAGTGCATTTGTATGTGCAGGTGCTCATCCATCAAGTTGAGCTCAATAATTAGCATGTTGCCTGTGCTGGTTACAATGTAGGCAACCATCAATCCAAGAATAAGGGGAACTACTGGAGTGGCTACTGGGAGAACCCAGAAGGCCAAGCTGTGTTACTGAGTCTGGTTTCAGGGCTCCTCAATAATCAATTGCAGGGGAAGTGAAACAGAGCTTTGTAATAGATGCATTACTATCAATCATTTAAGCAATCAATAAAATAATATTGAGCACCTAGGACTTCTTATATCCTGAGCATATACTAATCTACATTTCTGCCTACAAGTGACTTAAA